AAGTTTGACATAAATGTTGAGTTATTTGCATCACGATCGCATGTTCCGCTTTCAGATCTCGAGTTTGCTCGTCGAAATTCATCATTTGCCCCTCGAACATCTACCGAAAATCGGGATTTTACTAATAATACTGGATTACCGGCACAGACTCAAGCTCTTGCCCAAACAATTCCTAACCAACAAAGGAGGAATAGCAATGGTCCTGGTAGACTTAGAGACGCGTTTACCCAAATTGTGCAACACATGCTAAGAACTCCGACCACACAGGATGTGCCTACTACTGTTACAGACGAATTATCAGCGCTTTCGACACCAACCTCGTCTAGAACCGATGGATCCACAACTTCTGAGGATGAAGATCAGGAGATAATCCGTAGGATGTACAACCGCTTAGCAGAAGTTGTACAGATTTCATATCAGAACATTCTAGGTGATATCTCTCGTCAAAGTATGCGGCATATAAATGTTGAGTGTATTTGGGATTTATTTGGTTATACGATAACTTGCGTAGAAATATCTCAACGAGGTGTTGGTGAAAATCTTCCAGGAACTACTATAGTTGACAGCTTAAGTACACAGACACTAACTATTCTTAGAATTCTTTCGGAAACTATTATCACTTATATTAACACAATGTTAGCCAATGAATCTGATGAAACTAATTTGAAACAAATGGCTTCCTATAGAATTCATCAAATATTTTATGGGCACCCTATAATACAGCAGAAAGAGAGCACCACGATATCTAATTCTATTAATGATGAATCAATACAGACTCATGAGAAATCTGATTCAGGTTTATCAATAAAGACAAAACCCTTGTTACTAGAAGATCCCTTTTTATTGCTTGTTGAATGCAGTATGAATATGATATCGGTACTCGAAGATGAAATTAGCCATTTTATACGAATACTATTTGTAGCCGAAGTCATCAAAGTAATAATTTCTGTTGTTGAATCGGCAACCAATAACAAGACTAGGGCTTGGAGAGATGAATTAAGTCTAAACAAAGATTTCACCACTAAGTATGCGCTTCCAGAATCAAAAGATTCTTCGATTAAGGACTTTGTTATATGGGTATTACAGCTAGATGGTAACGATGGACATAATGTCATAAATTTCTTGAACGACATAGGAGAGTTATCATTCCTAAACATTATTAGAAAATTTTGTCTACCTTATTTGAGGAAATGTATGATTTTATTGCATTCGAGATTTGGCCTGGTGTTTTTCACTCAAACATCAGATGCCATGGAAACGGAGCAAAATGAGTTTGCAAGATTGAGCAAGCTATTAAGACTTCCTCCATTGGAAGAGATTTGTTCGTTAAGAGAAACAAACAGAAATATGCTTGTAATTATTGCAGGTTGGTGTAGTCATTTGAACATTCTTAGGCGGAAACCATCATCTATAGCCGACTTGTCTGGAAGTCCAAATGATTCCAGCTATTCACAAGAACCATTGGCCGTCACAATCAACCACCCAGCCATATTCGAATTGGTAGGCTTACCAAAAAGATTAGATTCTTTATTCGAAGAAAGCATGAGAAGAGCATGCAAAAAATGTAATACTGTGCCAAATGACCCGGCCTTGTGTCTGTTATGTGGTACTTTTGTATGTAGTCAAAGTTATTGTTGTTCCGATGAGACCCGTGGTGAATGTTACATTCATGCCAAAAGGTAAGATTCTAAAATATACTTTTTATTCCGTATTCAAATTTAAATTATTAATCCTAGTGTCATTAAAATTCTTATATTGCATCAGTTGTGGTGGTGACATAGGGATCTACTTGCTTGTTAAGAAGTGTGTAATATTATTACTTCACTTGGAAAATGGATGTTTTCAGAATGCACCATATCTTGATACTCATGGCGAAGTGGATTTGGGGCTAAAGTATGTATTTTATGGTGATTTATTGAAAAATCAGTCATACTGAAAATATTTACCACTACAATTGCTATATTAATATTTTTAGACGTGGCAGACCACAATTTCTTAATCAAAGGCGATATGATGAGATTCGCAAGTTATGGTTAACTCATGGTGTACCAATACATGTTGCAAGAAAGATTGAACAAACGTTTGATTTGGGAGGATGGCCAACTATGTAAAAGACGAATGTTTGAAGTTTAATTTTGGAATTATTCACGTTTTCTTACTGTTTAAAATTTCATCGTTTATTTATTTTGGCTTGTCAATATAATATAAATATTGTATGATATAAAACATCTAATTTACTGTATGTAAGGTTAGGATG